GTTTGGGGGGGTGTTTTTTAATTTTACCAGTCAGTCTCCGCTGTAAAAGGATTAAGCCCGTTATATTGACCTTCAACACTGACTAAGAAACCCCGCGGGGATACAGCTTAAACCTACAATGGTAGCAAATACACACAAACATTGTTTGCTTTGTACGAGCTCCCGGAGAGGGTTAAGCGGCGGCGCCCCAGCCATCCCCGGCCTTGTGGCTCTGTGGACACTCTCCCACGGCCCACCATTCACGAGCTTGGCTTTCACTTCTTACCCTGCTCTCGAGAAGTCATTACTCTAATCCTCCGCTGTATTGATACGCCTGCACGCTCCCCATTCAGATTTTCAAAACTAGTTCTTTCAGCAAATTAAATTGCTATAAAGATTTTTCTTTGCGTTACGGACTAAAGCGAGGATATAGGTTTAATGTTTGTTTATATAGAGACGAATTTGCCTGATGTGGTCCGAACATCGAGCGCAGACAAATCCTTTCCGGCGATTTGCTTTCATTGAAAGATTGAAAGCCAGAACGTCGTAGTCACTCAAGCGTGCAAGGTTTTTATGGTGGGAGAGATTTCAAGGTTTGGTATTGTACTCCTGGCCTCAGATGATATGTGCACACTCGGTCACGCAAACTTGAACACGGCGGGGACGACAGGAGGGGAAAACATGATCAGTGATAATGACCCTCGAGAAAATAACTTGTGTCTCTTGGCTTAGCCGGAGTCGCTTGTGTAGCTGAGACCTATGTGCGTGTGTGGATTCCTCTTTCTCTTTGTCGCAGATGTTCATAGATTAATTTTATAGTGTGTGTGGGGGGTGCTAATCTCCGTTCTTCTTTCCGAAGTACTTGGAAAAATGTTAGAGTGTTTGTACCTCTTCTTTTGAATTTACTTTGGTTGAATTTAGATGTTGTATTCGTTTACTTCCTTCATACAAGTGTACTTGGATACTTCGAGGAATTTCCGTTTGTGTATTCGGCTTCCTCCTTTATACGGATGTACTTTGACTTTGATGAATATCAGAGTTTCAATCAAACATTACAGGTGAGATAATTTAATTGAAGTTTGGCTGGAAATCCCTCATTCCCAACTTCTCGCATTGAGCGACCATAAATTTACCAATGAGTGCCCGAATTCCTAGAAGGTGCAGATTCCTGCGTTGTGTTGTTGGATACACTCGAAACTGCTCCTACAGCCCCCTGTCCAAGACAGACACCTGTACAAACGAACACTTCCCACTTGCCCTCTCGTTGTTTTTTCTACTGTAGTGCTGTCAAAAATTGGTCTCGAAAGTTTTCCTCAAATATCTCTTTAACGGGTGAATCAATGTCCCCCATACTTTTCACAGCAGTTTGTATCAATTTGTCTTGACTAAATCATAGTTTCCCACAACAATTGAGGCTAGATTTAAAAACATCTCTTCATAAATTCATGTAAAATATTATAAATCTCCGTCAAGCCGAAAATTGGGTTGTTCACAGCACTTCCCGCTCCTCACGCTCCTTTTGCATATTATATATATTATGCACATGGTCTACGTCACAGCTCACAATGTCAATTTTTGGTAGCAAAACTTGTTACAAGAAATTAGTTTTATTGTAAACACTTATTTTTTGCTCTAGAGGTTCTCAAAACGTGCGTTCAAAAAGCATATGTCACGATTAGAAAAAAAACTTGACAGACTTGTTTTTTAAAACGATATTGCCGCAGCAGTACACTTTTTAAAATCTGGAGAAACTACCAACATCCACCTGTCTAAGACAACTAATTTTCTACTTGACAACAGGTTGTTGTCTTGAACAATTTGGACTGTATCTGCTTTCCCCAACTTGAATGTTTTTTTTAATGTAAGAACGCCCCAGTCTCTTGCCTGCTTCCTTTGCAATGCGTCTACATACGAGTTATGTTAAAGGAAAAAAACATAGAGGGAAAGAAAACAAGTAGGACTTTTCAGCTCCTGCCTCCATCACCCTTAAAAGGGAAAGGAGGTAGAGGACGTGTTTGTGTGAATGTGTGTGTGAGAGAGAGAGAGAGAGGGGGGGGGAGAGA